TCTGCGGTGTTCTTCAGAAACTAATGTTCGGAAGCTACAAAGGGTCGAAGAGCAACATCAAGCCTGCACAAAAAACTTTCTGCAGATCGCAAAACAAGCATGTATATACTGTAGCCGTCACAAGGTACGTCAATATCCCACCCACCCACCCAGTACTCCTTCATGCAAATTGGTTGCAACATTGTAAAAGTTCTGAGGAATACTTTCTAAAGCATGCAAAATAGTCTCTGAAGATCGCGGAATAGTTTCTGAAAATCGCAAAATAGTTTCTGAAGATCGCGAAATAGTTCCTGAAGATCCCAAAATAGTTTCTGAAGAATAGTTTCTGAAGAGTAGTTGCGGAAGAGTACCAAAAAGTTGCGGAAGAGTACCGTTTCAGAAGAATGGAGAGTTGCGGAATAGGGCTTTGTTCGACCTTGATGGGTTGAACACACTTCTCCAAATCACAACGACCGTGTCCTGCAGCCCTTGGCCACTGAGAGGCATCTCCGCTTGCACTCACTGCCGAAGTCAGTGAGATAACCTTCCAGCGACCACGGAGCAGGAAAGGCAAAGAGATGATGCAGAAAACAGATGAAAACAGCATGGCTACTGTATCTGTTGTTCTACCGTGTTTGCTTTCTTTCGACGTCAATGGTCAACTGGTCGGATTCCTAGCTAGCACATCCTTTTTTCCAAGCCATCGCAGCCTCCAACTCAGGTTTACTTTATGGGTTGAAGCCTAGCTTGCTTGGCTTCGGATGGCATCCGGTCAGGTCTCTTGTGCTCGACTCATCCGAGAGACGTCAGCATCCAATGTAGCAAGTGTTGCCAAGGACCTGAAAACGGATCTCCACCCGATGTCGACGATTTTTTGTGCGCTCAAAATGGGGACCACCCAGAAAAAAGTCAGGAACAGAAGCAATTGCAAGCAAATGAAACCTGGTGGTTGGTTTGTACAGGCTTAAGAAGACCGCTTTTCTGAACCCGCTCTGGATAGATGGACGGCTGCAGCGAATCTCTTGGCAGGCCTCTCCCACTGCCAAGCATTCTGACAAGCCCCCAAGAAGGCGTTATATGCCACGAGATTTGGCCGGAGCTTATGGCTCCTTGCATCTTCTAAGACCGACCTCGGTAAGTCAGAAGCATTGCTTGCATGTAGGAAAAAACATATGATAGCCTTGCTACTAGTAGCTGATTCTTGTTACTAGTAGTGATGGCCTCCAACCTACTTGCGATGGCCTCCTCCTAATAGCGTCCTTGTTACTAAGACTCATAGTTGGATCTTCTTGACGTTTTGACATTGTATTCTCAACGACATACTTTTCGAGTGGATTCAGTGCATTATCCAGCATTGCATGCATTGCAAACTCTTGAATGCTGCTGCGTCCAAATTGAAATCGAAAAGAACACTGGCTGATTGACAAAGCATTCGATACATCCTGGTCCTGCGATACCACAAGGCCACACCACCTAAATAACAACCAGCCTACAGGTTTTGATGACAGGAAGGGATGTGAGGTCAAAGTAGATTTAACCCAAGCAGTTTATAGCACTGTCATTACATCGAACTGACTTTGTCGCTTCGTTCTTCAAAAGACCGACGTTGTCTTCCTCATCTCCCTCCTTCTCGGGTTTCCTCAGCCCCACACAGGGCTGGCGCCCACTCTGCGGCCTTCTCACCAGCACTGATCGCCGCACTGCATGTGATGACATTGGGCTGCCTGGGTGTCTGAGGATGAGGCCTTACCAAGAGAGGTTAAGTGACCTTGTAGGACCCTACTGGGGTGCCTATGGGCTGGTCTATATAGGGTTCTTCGGCCTGTTGGTATGAGGCTCAACCTCATTCTGCCTCAGATTGTTGCTACAAAAAAGGAAGATTGGAAGGTTCATTCCATTGCTCATTTTTCACCGGGCTTCTCGTTCGACAATCACGTCCTTCCTCGCCCCGCTCCGGGAATTGGAGTCGTTGCTGAAGGGAAAAAGTCCAACTCTTTGAGGCACGCTGGACGGGTCAAGCGTCAAAGGGATGTGGATCTGAAGATGCACTTCCGAGTCTCTGGAGCATTTTGCACATGAGGGAAGTTAGAATCCAGAAAGTGATCCACGGTGCATGTAATATTCATATACAGCAAGGTATACAAAGGTCACATGGCAACCTCCCAAAACATCCCAAAACCGGCTTTATACATGTCTTGCAGTGTTGGCACGAGCCCTTGTTCACAGGTCAGGGTTAGCAAGAACCCCAACACCCAGCCTTTGGATCTTCTTGACTCGACAACTACATGTAACGGTAGCATTAAGAGGAGTCCATACCGGTCAACAACTCCACTACATCCTCAACCAAAGTAAGGCAGTCTAGCTAGACCGACTCCATCAACTGCTTCTTCTTCATAGAAAGCAGGAAAACAGCGGCTTGCAAAGAGTGGGAAACTCGACTCCATTTTGATATCAAGGAACTTCTTTACACCATTTACACCGTCCTCTCTTCGGCAATGTTGTGGAAGTTTGTTTGTTTTTGATGACCACTTCTGTTCTGGCTTTGTGCCAGAGCGGCGAGCATGCCGTTCCAAGGGCAGCAAAGCACTGTGTTTTACTCATGTTGTCCCATCAGTGGAATTTTAGTAGCGCCTCTCAAGGTTCACTCGAGTTTCAGCAATGTATCTCAACAACGTAATGCGGATCTTGGCGGATCTTTGACTAACTATCACCTCACCAGCTTGCCAAAGCAAATTGGTCGGGAACTTCAATGAATGTCGCCGGCACAACTCTCCGCCACCCGGCACAACTCCCCCGCTTCTCCCCGCTTCTATACAACACTGGGAGGTGTTCTTGAAACCTGGGCAACATGGCCCAGCCACAGTGCGAATGAGGTCACATCCTCCAGAATTTGCAAAGCCCAGGTCCATTGGCTCGCCTTTTCCTGACGGGGCTCACTGGTGCACGCCTTGTGCAGCCACTTTGGTCTTCGCTGTTCCAGACAAAGCAATCTTTGCTTCCCCTTTTTGCAATGAGAGTGTCGGAGGTAGCAGTGAGCTGGTGTCAATCTGCGCAGGTGGTGGGTGTGATGGCTGTTTTTGTTTAAATACAAATTCAGAACGTTTGCCTCTCAACTCCCAGCTTGGCTCCTCTCCTTGCGGTTTTGTCTATCTGGCAACGTCTGGCGACCAAGTCTCGCAGGCACTCACTGCAGCATTGAATGCAACGAGATTACCCTGGAGCTTGCGATGGCCTGGAGAAAGGTCCAGCTCCCAAATCTCGGACTGACACATTGAAGGGCTATATAATTAAGCAGTACATTCTAAACATCTTCGGGCTCCAGGTCAGGTGTGAGGGCTGGCCGGCTTGCGGCTTATGGTATCTCTCTACCGTTCTCACCGAGCAGCGGATCTCGCGAAGGAAATCCAAGGCCAGCTGCCAGCGGCCGCCCGCTTCGCAGGAGGCGATCACAGCGGCGTAAGTGACCTGATTTCATCTGACTTCGAATGCACCCAAGGAAGGAAGAGCACCTGAGTGCCCTGAGCTGACTTCGTTTTTGAAGGAAAAGCACCCGGTTTTGGATCAAGGACTCGAGACCGAAGACGGTCAACTTGGTGAATGGCCTGATGTTTGGCGTGACGAAAAATGGCTGTCTTGATGGACTTCAACCTAATAGCAATGACCTCCAACCTACCAGCGATGGCCTCCAACCTCAGAGTGTTGGCCTCCAACCTAATAGCCACGGCCCGCAACCCACTAGCAATGGCCTCCAATCGAATTAATAGCGATGGCCTCCAACCTAAGAGCGATGGCCGTCTTGACGGACTTCAGATTTCTGATGTGCTTGACAGGGCTGGGGCTAAGAATGGCTGAGAGCTGTCGAGGCCTCAATCTTCTTGGACACCGCTGCTACAACTGCTGCTACAAAGCTTTGTTGACATGTCACAACTGTAGGCTCCACTCGCATCTGCTGAACTTGCTCATAAAGCGAAAGCGCAATCCTCACAAATGGAGCACGTGTTCCATGCTTGCAAACTTGTGCTCGACGGTTTGTACGGTGACTAACAAATTACTGTCCCATACTGTCCCAACAATTCTAAACATGGTGATACAAGCTGTACCCTACGGAGAAGCAACAAAGATCATTTGCGAGCAGGGCTTTCAGAAGTGATGTTGGCTTCTTCGAATCAACTCTTCAGAGCCATCATCTCAACGGGTAGCGGTATATATAGTTGTATATGATTATATATGTAATGTAGTCTGACAGAAAAGTAATTCCTTTGCTGCTACATGAGATGACGTCCACGCTAAATCACTCTCCATTGTCAAATTTGCTCATGTCCACTTTGTCACACAGATCAAGTGTACGCGAAGCACAAATCTAGCTTTCCAAACCAGGAGTCCATGAGCTAGCTTTCCAACGGGACGTTCCACAAAACCATCCATCAAAGTCCTCCAGTCATTCCTTCTGGAGGTGATCCAAGTATTGTAGACCACAGCATTTGGCTGCAGGCCTAGGGTCAACTCAGAATCCAAACAGGGGGATGAATTAGCTTTGGCTGCTCCCAAGCCATTACGGACTCATGGATAAAGATGTAGCCCACCCAATCAGTGTGGGGCGGTTCGCACAAACTCACTACAAGGTGCCAAGTTTCAAGGTGACAGGCTTCCATGACAGGCTTCCATCAGTGCCATGTTCCACACTTTCCGGTTTGCCCTTTTGCTCCAGATTTACGGGACAGCAATTCAGAATGGGTAAGCTGTAAGCTCAAGTGCTCAAATTTTGCAAACTGACTCTGATCGCGTTGGTCGGCGTCAGTCGGCGTCCTATAACGTGGGGAAAACGCCTTGCGATTGAAGCTTCAAGTGCAAGTCTTCCACCTGGGCGACACCAGCCAATTCGGATTCCGGATTCCAAAGGATCTGATTTCGATCTGACGACAGCCTGGAGGCCAGGCCTGGAACGCCGTGACTTCTACGTGGAACAAGGACATTCCAGCACTTTAGCAAGGCCATACTTCATGGTGACTGGCATCGTCGCCTTTTCCGCTTCAAGTCGCCTCAAACTGGCGCACGCATCGCCTGCAAATTCTACGGCTCCTTTGGAGTCGCTGCCCATGGAAACCACGAGCGAAAATAACACACGTGCACAGGTGAACAGTGAAAAGACGGACTAAACACCAAGAACCGGCTGAGTCAGCTATGTCTTCTAGCTATCCAGGTGCTTCTTCATTGCTGGCCACTGGTGAGGAGAACTTAAATCCGTAAACTAATGGCCTCACTTTGGCGCAGAAATCGGATTCCAAGGGAACCTCCTCTTTTCCAGCTCTCCAACAAAGCTTTGAAAACTCCTTGTGGCTGAAGATCATGGGCTCTCCAGCAAATCTTCTGAAAGCCTCCCTTGTCTCCGAAAAGACCTCTCTTGCTCGGTCGACCTCAGGCAATTTGGAGCTGTCATAGAACTTTGGTCTCAAAACCCTCTCGCGGATCTTGCGAGCTACATCCGCATTGGATTCCTCGACGGTCATAGGCAAAGCACCAGGCCGGGCTCCGATGCCATCCCCACGAATGTGGTAAAGTGCGTGCCATTGGTTTCTGCAGAGTGCTGCCTGCCAAAGCTCGCTGTCAGCTCGCACCCGTTCCTCATTTCCGTCACCAACCAGCCGGTGGAGTGGTGGAGACTCAAGCAACATTGCATCTCCAGGGCCAATCAGAAGCTGATCCAAAAGCTTCCGCTTCATGCCACTGGTCAAATATCCCATGAGGCTTTCTGCGGCTGCTCCGCCAGTCACAAACATGAGGATTTTGGGTGGGCTGCAATGCTGGACATCTTTGGGACGAGGCAACTTTTCTCCGGAATCAGCTTCAGCCTCCTGAACCACCTCTCGCACTGCGTCCCCCACTTCGGAAGCTGACAGGCCCAAGCCACCCACACGATCTGGAAAGTCGAGGGCTTTGCACCTTGCGATCCTTAAGGTTTTGGCACCTTCCTCAATAGCACCAGGAACGCCACTTTCCGGGTTGTTCAACATGGAGCAAACTCGTTCGCAGGTTTGTCTACAACATGCCAAGCTGCTACTCAGCAGCATGTGTGGCTGCCAATCCTGAGATTTGTTCAAGGGATCTGGAAAAGGAGAAGTCTTCCCTTAGAAAACATAGACATATTCAGGCTGTTCACAGATCTATAGGGAAAAACAACTCAAAAAACATATAAACACTGCTATCAGCAGAAACAGGGCTCCTGGCAGAGTCTCAAAGCCCAGCTCGTGCGAGTGACCTGGGTCCATCCCTCAGGACGAAGAGCTCTGTATGCGGCAGGAGAACCTGGGGAATCTGAGAACACACTCTGGGCGTTCCAAGAGCTCTCACCGTGCCGCATGAGAATCAAGCGAAGACTCGTTTTGGACATGCTGATTCTCCAGTGTATCCTATGATGCCGATACACCCGATCCAAATGCTTCTCTTGCAAAGCGCCGTCGCGTGGTACATGCAATAGACTGAAGATGGCCTGAGCAGCCCTGACGGTGGAAGACACAAAGGGCTCTTTCTCCGGCGAGGTCACTGGGTAGAAACCACTCTTCTCCAAGTGCCCCGCGAGCGCCGACAGCGTGACGCTCGACGCTCCGCTGGACGCCTTCGATTCCATGCGACCTTCGCTCCGCTCGGCGGCGGCTCGACGCGGATCGGCGGAGGCGCTCGAACTGGGTCGCGAGTCCGGAAGAAGAAGCTTCAAGGCCAGTAGGGCAGGCTTGGGCCGCAACAAGACCTTGTCCTCCAGAACATACAGGTGATGAATGCGCCTCTTCACCAAGAGCATTCTGCCCCAGCGTTGTAGCTTCATGGCACTCAAATTGCGAAGCATTGGCTCAGCATCTGCCTCAGCGAACTTGGATTTCATCGACATGTTGGCGACCTTCGCTTTCGCCATGCTGCGTCAGCTCAGATCGGACCCGATGTTCAACGTTGAATTTGTCTCCGATTCTTGTGTATCCGACTGCCATCAGTGCTTCTGTGCTTCGGCGCTGTCTGTTTCTTACGTAGGCTAGTGTAGCTGGCTTTCCTTGAGGAGACTTGCAGTCCTTTACTCATGATGGAAAGGATAGCGTTGCAAGAGCTGGGATTTGGCAAGCCCTCTCTATGTGCAAATTGTTCGAGTAACAGTACTGAAAAACCAACTGGCTGATTCGGGCTTTGCCTACCGCAAGCCAAACCCACGCACAAACAACTTGACCAAGCATTGTTGATTGGCAAATCAACAGTTGCAGTTGCAGATCCTCTTCAAGCTCTACTGTAATTATAAAGTTGGATTATAGAATTGCAACTGAATGAACTCACCTTGGTCTGGTCTGACATTTAGGACTTTGGGATTCAAACGGGTATCGCATCGTATCGTGTTCTCATCTCTCACTCATACTGACCCAACCAAGCCGTGCAATGCTCTGGAACGGAAGACTCTATGAAAACGTCATGCATCGCGCAAAACGTCCTGTCAATCGATCCATCATGATCTGTCCAAAAAGCTGTTCGATTGATGCATCGATCCTGCCTGCTCCCAAGCGCTTTGCCGCTCAGCTGCACTCATGGCTGCCCCGAAAGAGACAACGCTGCGCGTGGTGCTCGGCAAACCTTCAGCCAGCGCAGCCTTGGGAACAAACCCCAGAGTCAAAAAGGTGCGGTTGCAGCCTTGGAATGTGGATCCATGATGACAAAGGAATCTTTCTCACTCAACTCATCGTTGAAGTCGCTCCAGTTTGAAGGTCCCAATGTCCAGTTCAATTAAACTTGGATGAAGAGAGTTCTGTTCACGGGAAGCAGGCCAAGCCCCAATAGTGGAAACCTCGGAATAACATGAAATAACTATACAGCGGCCAAGCTGTCCAAAGTGTAGATGTGGCAATCATGTACGGAACACGACTAGGAACTCTATGCAGCCGTCAATCCGGTCACACGTGAGGACCGAACTCAGGGACGTCTGTGCTTTCCTGAAGTCTTCTCCTACTTCCTGCCTCCTCCCATCTTCCGCTGTTGAACAGAATGTTGAATCCTTCCATTTCCCACAGCTGGCAGAGTATCCAAGGTGGTGACGGACTCGAAACTCATACTTTGTCCGTCGCTACTCCAGTTTCGCAGATCACTACAGAGCAAGCCACCTGTGCCGCTGGCCAACGGCCTTCTCCAGCTGCCTTGACCAGCAGGCCGTGGGTGACCTCTCGACTTGACCCACAAAAAGACTCGCTGGATTCAAAGGCCTTCTCCTACCAAACAGGGGGGGTTCATTCAGGGAGAACAGCTTCAAGATTTCAAGCATCCCTAGAAGACATTGAAAAAGGGCATTGAGGTTCCCACAAAACACGGGTGTTATGGCAGCATCTTCATCACATCGTTGCCTCATCTGGCTGCAGTCCCTTGCTTCGCAGGTCTGCCAAAGCCTCCGGCCAGTGGCATCTAGCCTTGTTCAGGCGGGTCGCGACGCGGAAACGTGAGAAAGAAACGAGGCAAACGCTGGGTAACAGGAGGTTTCTGCCAACAAGGCAGCCCTGTGGTGGCCGGCTCCACTGAGCGCAGATCTGGTGTCCAACTTTCGATTTACCATTGCCATCCGCTTGAATTTGTTGTGGGCGTGTCGCGACGAGCAAACAAGTTCTTCACGCTCACAGAAGAACCTAATTCTGTCTACTCAATGTGTTAATTGAGTGGTCCCAATCGATCTGTGCCCACACTACAGAGCTAGAATCTGGTAGTGCAGTAGTGCCGGCAACCGCAACTTTCACTTAAGAGATCTTAAGATATTGGAGTGATGACCTCGCTGCAGTGCTTCAAACGGATTGACATCAAGGGTCCTGCAGCCCTCCCTCGTCTGGTCTGACAAAGTCCACTGGGCCCCCGACCGCTGCTGTGAGGATACTGTTGTGTAGACTGATGTCTGTCTGCATCTCCTCTTTGAGTTAGAAAGGAACACTTCACCAATAGGGCCGAGAGGTTTAAGCAGCTTAGGCCTCACGGCCTCATCCTTCCAAACTCTTGGGGCAAAGCTGGGCATCACCCCAAACTGCCTCTCTGAGCAACTCTCAGAGCTTTGAAGCTTCCAGGTTTCCCACAGTGTCCATGTTGGAAGATGGGAGCAACGTTTCCCCCACATCACGATTGCCCAAATTCCTGCAAAAACCTGCCGGGTCTCCTCTCTCTCCATAGCTGCCAACATCTTGATGGCTTGCTGCCATTGGTGGAATTTCGAGAGTGCTGCAATTTCGTTTGTCCACTCCTGGGCGTGGCACGGGTCTCCCGTTTGATGCCATCGAGCGACGTTGCCCCGGCACCTGAAACCGGAAATATATGAGACAAATGATGTATCAAACAAAAATTGCACTACACCCCCTTTTCATTGGTACTAGCAATCTCTTTGGGATTTGAGACACCCTGCTGACGATCGCATGAAGTTGCACCCTGCAGTTTACAGTAGTTGTGACTGTGCCCTGCAGTTTACAGTAATGTGCCTGGAAAAGCAGGTTACTGCGACTGACTATATAATTGAAACACACACACACACAAACAAACAAACAAACAAGCAAGCAAACAAACAGAGCCGAGCCGGGAACCCGGAACCCGGAACCGTGAACCCCGAACCGAACCGAAACAACACAACACATCACAACACACTATTCTTTTTCTCCGCCGCTCCCTCCTGCTGTGTCTCTCTTTCACCTCTCCCCATGTGCGATGCAAATGCAACCCAGTCCATACTGATATGTCTCACTCAAAAGAAACAGTGCTGTCTTGATCTAGAATCTATATAACTGCAGGTTGTTCACGCCAAGTCGTCCGCACTTTGTGGAAGGACAATTGACTATCCATGCGCTGCATGTTTACAGGGATGCACATACTTCACTTACCGTAGTTACTTTACATCACGACATGTCTACCTCATCTCTGCCCAGCTTGCCAAGCTGTCGAAACGCAAAAGGCCCTGCCAAGGGTCTCTTGCTGTGCGCCCTGGTCTCTGCCGCATCCTGCCATGATTCAACGCGCCCGGAACTGCGCGCCGCGCAGCGGGACCCGGTGGTCGAAACAAGAGACAAATGGCTGCAAAGTCGGATCTTCCTCCAAGTTGAAAGCTGATACTCTACATCTGCCTGAACATTGGCACTGCATCTCATAGTTAATGCTTCGCACATCACCAGGTCAAATTGCATGCTTTACACACAGACATTGGGCGTCCCTTGAGCGCAGCCTTTTATTTCTCTGTCATCTCAACAGAAAGGTATTCTGTGCTGCTGCCAGCACCGAGGATCCATCCCCAGGTATCCTAGGAGAAGGGAACAGGTCGGTGAGGAGTGAGGACGATCTGAAAAGCTTTCTTTAATGAGAACAATTGCATCTTGGGTTGCTTAAACAGAGGTGACACCTCAAAGCAATAGTGATTGATCTACAATACTCTACAACAACAATGTAAATACTAGACTCGAGCTAGCAAAGAGCTACCATGTCATATACCAGTAAAGATTCACCATTTGCTTCGCCGTCAGTAAAACTCATTCGAACAAACACCAACGTGAAATGGCAGTCAAGCTGATAGGAACGAAGTGCAACTAAGCATTATGTCCTGCTTAAACAATGACTATATAATATATACATAGAGATTGAACATTCTTGGTATTGGGACCCAAGTCCGACGGTGTGCAACCAAGGCGCTGGGTCTCTGTGGACCTTCAGAGTGCTGAATCATTCACAAAGGACAAACAATGATGAACGGGTTTTGCGCCAGCAGCGATAGACTATGTGACCATCACTTGACGTTATCCCGTTTAAACTACAATTACAAATGGCCCTTTCCAACTTAACCTCGGCTGCTGTGTGACTGCGGGAAGAACGCATTATATATATATATAAGTATATATATATACACTCGAGTGTACAGCGCCTGAGCCTGTGTACATGTTTTCAGATTGTCCGTGTGCCCTCCTCTCGTCAATGTGTGTTTGGGCTTTGAATGGCTTGTTGACATGCTCCTCCTTGAGCTGTAATGAACAGGCATCTGTGATTCTCTATGGCAGCCTGTCTTTTGCTCGCGTCGCTGCACTCACAACCATCATTGTAATATCTTCTTACTACTAGGAACAAGGACGCTACTAGGGGCTCCTGGCCTTACTACTAGGAACAAGGACGCTACTAGGGGCTCCTGGCATCGCTACCAGTAACAAAAACGCTACTACGAGCAATTGCCATTTGAACACACCATCCTGCTCTGCATGCGCCGAGCACTGCCGGAGACCACCCATTTCACAGGGGAGAACCGGTCGTTCGGGGCTGTTTGCTACTAGTAGCGATGCCCTTGTTACTAGTAGCTTCTTGTTACTAGTAGTAATGCCAGGAGTTATTAGTAGCATCCTTGCTACTAGGGCTGTTTGCTGCAAGTTTCGCACCTTCAAAGGAGCCATCCCTTCCAACTGGAAGAGCTGGCCGTCCTGCTCCAAAGACCTGTCCGAAAGGACACGCCGTAACCGTAGTGGTCGATGTTGTTCGAAGAGAAAGGAGTTTCAAGGGGTCGCTGGGTCCAAACCCGGGGCTTTAAGATGCCCTGGGAGAAATGCTCCTAAGATCCAGGATGGGGGCATGGGCCTAGCACATGCCTTGCAGTAACCTTTGACATCCTTGCAGCAACCAGGACACTCTCAACTCATCTCAACTCACTTCATGCCAAAAGGCCAAGTGGTCTCGCCGAAATGTGGAGAAACAAACACGCCGTTCTTCTGAAAATGCCTGGCACGGCAGGCAGCAACTCGGACGTGAAAACCTTCCGATGGCCTGTGATTTCGGACGTGGAGATTCACTTGGGGAAAACTCTTGAATCACACGAAGTCATCTCTTGCCCCTTGATATCCAGCTGTGGGCAGCACCATCGCTGCTGCGCTACACTCTGAGTAGCCAGGAAAATTGAAGAGCTCACACGTGCAACAAGTTTGAACTAAGTCCCGAATATATTTTGAAATAGTTTGAACTAAGAGCCCTAAGCTCACATATTTTGGCCTAAGT